CTCCCCCCCCCCCCCCCCCAAGTTACGAGAAAGGGCCACTTGCTCAGGCCTTTTATTTCAGGTTATATCTAAAGGACTAAGTGGTTCTCAGTTGGCATCTGTAAATGGAAGTAGTATATCTTTGAAGATCACTGCTCAAAAATACTATCGATTATATGACTTATTCCGGGAAATCCTAACTGACTTTGGTGTATATGTTTGCAGGTGTTCATTGATGATTCATGTTGAGCTGGGTTTGTAATGAAAACCTGTCCTGTGCTTGTCACTGATTATTCAGATTTGGAGGTTAAAATGAGCTAAATCACACTCTGGGGTTCTCTTTATGCTTATTCAGAAAACAACAGGCAAAATTATAGACCAGTTTATGTTGAAAAGGACCTCTGGAGGTCAACACACATCCCCACCCCCCTCCCAGACAGGGACAATTAGATCACATTGCTGAGGTCTTTGTTGAGTATTGAATTATCTCCAAGAATGAAGATAACATAACTGGGCAGTTGTTCTAGTGCTTCATCACCATCATTGTGAATAAATTTTTCTTTATACCTGATTGTAATTTCCCTTGCTTCCCTTCCCAAACTTGTGTTTTATTGCCTCTTATTCTTGTGCTGTGCATATTTGAGAAGAGTTTAATTCTGTCTTCTTTATAATCTCCTTACACAGTTGAAGACAGTGGTTAGATAGATCCTCTTACCTTAGCCGTCTCTTGTTCAGGATAAACAGATCTCTCTGTGTGAACTGCTTGTACATTGTGTGGTTTAGTTCTTAACCGTCATGGTGGCCCCTCTTGGATGCGTTCTAGCACTTTAGTGTGTCTTGCACTGGGAATCCCCTAAATGGGCACAGTAATCAAAGTGGAGTCTCGCAAGCATAGAATAAGAGCCATCCTCCTATCTGTCTGCCCAATCTGAACGTCGAGTTGGTTCTTATCAGTCAATAACAAATTCATGTTGTGAGGAAGGTACTGAAAGGGGTGTGCAGGCCCAAAAGAGCTGGCCTAGCTTGGATCAAAACATCCTTTGCTCTTGGTGTCCTGTCTCGGAGTGATGGAAATGTAGAGCATTCTGCCTTCCACCCGTAGCATCACACCTCATTGTTCAATACAACCCAATGCAAGAGAGGAGTCTCTTTCCAACACCCAAGTTGTGGTTGACTGATGTTCTGGAGGGTGGTCCTTCTGGTCCTAATGTTTAGTTGGTGCTGCATTCTTTCAAGTCAGTAACCCCCTACTTCAGAAAGCTCTCTGATTTAACCATGCATTTACCAATGGGTCTTCTTTCCAGGGCTCTTATTGGACAATAGATACGTGTCCAGATATATCTCGCAAGAGGCGGCATCCTCCAGATGATGACGTGAGTGGTGTTCTTTCCAGACAGCGTGGAGCAGGAGGGGGAATTCCCTTCTTGTTCCAAGGAGTCCTTCCAGCACCATGGTATTGTTTTGGGGGGCAGGGTGTACAGATGGGGAGGCTAGGACTGAATGAACTAGTGTGTATGTCCTGTCGCTTGGCTGTTGTTGCTAAGGTCCTTTATCGTGACTCTTCAGTGACTAAGGCCCAGTCCTCCTCTTTTCTAAGCCATTAACTTCTACAGTGGGGGAGCTGGCTTCCCATCTGCAGTTTCACTTCTCCATCTGTTTTTGATTTTTGCTCCTTTCCTTTTCTCTTTCTTCCTCATCCACAGATACCACAAGACTCCCCAGAGCAAGAGGCAAGTAAAAGCCCCCGAGGGGCTGTTCCAGTCAGCACAGAAGCCTCTTTGCCGCCTGAGGCCACCCCTCAGCTGTCGCTCCAGAGCTCCACCCCCATTGCCAACTACAGTCAGGTGAGCAGCAGGGAAAAGGATAGAAGCCTTATGGTGGGGGAAAAGGAGCAGGGAAGGAGTGCATGAATGGAAAAGCAAAGTGGTGAGAAGAGAGGGAATCAGGAAAATGGTGATATAGAGGCAAAAATAAAAAGAAGGGAAGAAGCTGAAATTGCAGAGACAGAAAATAAGGAGGAAGTGAATTTTAACAAAGGTTTGGATGGGGATAAGTATAAAGGCATAATGGTATTGGATAGCTGAAGAAAAGGCTGGAGCTAGGATATGCTGCATAGGGAGGGTGTTGGTTTTTCCTCAAGGAAAATGGCATTTGGGAACATTTGTTGGGAGATGAGCTAAGTGATATGGGATATCAGTGCATGTTCTACCTGTATCTAGCCTCTGGATCTCTGTCTGAAGTTATAAAACCTAGTAGAAGCTAAAGGCCTTCCTTCTGCCTTCCTTAGCAGGGTACAGGGCCTGTGGATGTTGCCTCTACTGTAGCAGGAGGGCAGGGCCGTGAAGGGGCTGATGTGCCACCCCCGCTGTACAGTGCCAACCATGACTTCAAGTTCTCCTACTCCGAGATCAACTTCCAGGATCTTAGCTGGTCCTTCCGAAATCTCTACAAATCCATGCTGGAGAAATCATCTTCCTCTCAGCACGGTGAGTAACTATATGCGTCATGCGGGGTGGGCAGGTGTCTGCCCACACAGCCTTGTCCACTGTTCTATCCTTGGTATCTCTCGAATCTTTCGTCATTTAGGAGCCTGTGCAAACAGCCTTTCCTTCTTTGGCGCGCTGTAATTAGTTCTGCCAGGAGCAGATAAGAAATCTGCATGTCCTTTATCTATTGCTTCCCCTAGTTCTCTCAGAATAAAGAGGATAATGATTTAAAAATACCTTGTGTTGATACAAAAGCAAATACTAAAATGGCAGAAGCTTAGAGAAACGAAGTCCTGAAGAAAAGCGTATTGGAGAAGTATTCACAGTCTGTCAGGCTAGAAACCATAAAAGAGAGGGGATTGTTGCATGTGGAGTTTCTCCAGAAGGAGAGTGGAAAGTCGTCATTGCCCAGATCTGTTAAAACTAGGATCGTACAAGGCCTTGGAGGATTGAGCTTTGTGGATTGAGAACACGGAAGAAGAGAGACCTTCCAACTCCATTCCTAGCTTGCATTTCTGAGACTGAGGAGGCAGCCACCAGAGGGCACAATGGCTGTAGGGATGAGCTGAGATGTCCACGGAAAACTTTCAAAAAAAATCTACAGTTGTTGTTCCCGCCTTTAAACGCTCTAAGTATTAGTCTGGTGTAAAATGGAATATATTATTAGATGATCCTCTCACCTATGCTGTCAGCCATCATACAGTGCAGGCAAAGTTTGCTGCTTTAGGAGGAGCCTCCTGAACTTGTAGCTTAGTGAAATAAAAATTTATTACTTTTACTGCTTTCATCATGCTGGCGCTTGGGATTCCTAGTAGGAGCCTGTTGTGTGAGGTGTTGTAGAATGGGCAAGCTACAAAAATGTAGAAAAGAACCTTTACTCAGTGTGTGCCTTGACTCAGTGTGTGCCTCTGTAAAAATGTAGCAGCAGTCTGTTTTTTTCCCCAAGTCTTCAGCTGAAGGTAGTCTAGGACAGCTTGCAGGTTTTGAGGAAAATTTGTGGACAACTTTTGAGTCAGGATGGCAGTATCCATCCTTTTGCCCCATTGAAGTAGTAGGATGCTCTAAGGGTTGATTTTTGGATCTAGTGACAAACTGAGGCTTGGTTGCAGATGGTGAAGTAAGGTGCTCAAAGTAAGAAATGGGTAGCTCAGGTTAGTGGCATGTAATGCCTGTTGCTGTGATTTCTCCCCCCGCCCCCCCGAGGTTCTGCAATGTAAGGGGAGAATGAACTGTGGAAGCAGACATAAGAGAGATGCTGAGCTGCCGATGTGGGGAAGAATGGAGAGCACTTGATGCTCTTGCATGTAGGGGATGCCTGAAATAAAAGAGGATAGAAATTAATAAAGGAGCTCTGATGTGTGCAATGTGCTCTGTGTACAAAAGCAGTAGAATGTGTGACCTTTAATGATCTGTGTGAGAAAAATTGTGAAGGTTCCCAACCAAGCTGCTTATAAGACAGGAACTGAAGGGAGCTTTTGGAAACAGCAAGTCAGATTTATCAAGTTACCTGTTTTTCTAAATGTTTTGTTGTTTAAGTTTGCTTAATGGTCATTTCTAGGAAAACAACATGCATGAGGTTTCAGGACAACATGGGTTACTTTGGTAAATACAGGAAAAATCTAGGGAGGAATTTAAGTGTCTAACTCTGTACTAGGAGTTTAAATCCTGCTGGGTCTTTGTTGTAGAGCCTTTTGTTTTGAACAGAATCTGGAGCACAGTGAGGTCATAACTATGCAGGTGATAGTTGTTGGCAGCCTGTAGAGGGCACTCCGAAAGCTTCATAAATAGCAGGATGAGCAGTGTGAAATTAAGAGACGGACAATTTAAGCAGAGGTCTGATCCAGGTATCTCTTAAAGCTCCCTCCTCTTTCTGTTACTTGGCAGGTTTCTCTTCTCTCCTTGGTGACATGCAGCCCTCCAACCACAACTACTACATGTACCAGCAGCAGCAGCAGCAAGGCCCCTCATCAGTGGGTGCTGCTCCCCCACTCCACACTCCAACCCCAGAGGGCTGCCCATCCCAAGGGGCAAAGCAGCAGGGTGGTGAAGGTTATGGCCCGCCACCAGTGATGTCCATGCACCCACCCCCAATGCAGCATGGAGGCTACCACCAGCATCAACAACATCACCCACACTCCCACCCACAGCAGCAGCCACATCAGCACCAGCAGCAGCAGCAGTCACAGGCTTCAATCAACAATGCTGGCTTTGGTGAGTCAAAGGCAATGGAAAGAACAGCTGCGGAAAAGGAAGCAGTGAGGAGCCCCCAGACAGAAATTCCACAAGCGAGCTTTCCCTAAGTAGTGCCTACATTGTGTGGGGGTAAAAGGGTGAAAGCCAGTTAAGATTGAAATCCGAGCAGGAAGTTGCTTCCTTACTGAAGGAAAGGAGGATACATTCACACTGGGTTGGGCATTCTGTTTAGGGGTGCTAAATGAAAAAGGAGGCACCATCCCAGGTCTTCTAAGGGAGAAAGGATTTCTAGCTACTGGTGAAGAGGGGCCAATCGTTTTATATTAAGGGGTGGAGGGAAAGGGCAGTCTGTATTCAAATAATCTTGTCCCCATTTCATTCCAGCATTTCCCCCTGATTGGTGCTCCAACATTGATTCCCTGAAGGAAAGCTTCAAGATGGTAAACCGGCTGAACTGGTCTAGCATTGAGCACTCCCAATTCTCAGGTCAGTGTTGGCCTAGTGACTAGGTTTAGTGACTCAGTGACTAGGGGTATCGTCTAGAATTATGTGAGTGCTGTGCCCCGATTTTTTCAGTGTAACTGTGTCAAGTCCATGGGTTTCTCAGTGATTCAACTCTTCCCTTTGTAAAATGAGGTGTCCTACTTCATGCGTTCTGTTAAAGACCCGGAAGCACTTGAGCACTGCAGAAATCTGGGGCAGGGGGAATTAATTCATAAAAGCATGTCAGAAAGCTAACTGAGATTTTTCCCTCCTATTCTTCCCTCTCCTACGTGAGTCAGTGAGACAGTATCCTAGATACGGAGCTCTCTAGGAATTTGGTGACAGATTCAAAGTGTTGAAGTTGGGTTTGTGGGGAGAAGGTAGGATTTAGGGGTAGAAAACAGAAACTCTTTGCAGGGAAGACCACAGTGTGAGTGCTGTCTTTGACATTGTCCTTTGTCCCCTGCAGAGCTGATGGAGAGCCTGCGCCAGGCTGAGCGGAAGAACTGGACGCTGGATCAACACCATATTGCCAATCTCTGTGACTCCCTTAATCACTTCCTTACCCAGACTGGTCAGCTCCCTCATCTGGTTGGCCCACAGCAGCCCCCCCGAATCTCTGATTCTTGTGCCCTGAACAGTGGCAAACAGGAGCAATCCATGAACCAGGGTAATTAGGAGGGAGACTAAAATGACACGTAAATGAAGGCCCAATTCTGTGAATATCCTAAACTACTTGCAGCCTTGCCAGGCAATGTAGCACCAAGCAACTCGGGGCTAGGCTGTCAGAGCTGTTCATAGCAACTCAGCTTCCCCTGGCTTTATTGATTAGGAGGATGTCCTATGGCTGTGTCCTAGACAGGCTGTTGTTATGTGATGCATACCATTGAGAGGCAATCTCTCCAGGCAGAAATATATTTAAAAGGTAAACCCATAAAAGGAGAAGGGGGTGGTGGTTTTTGTAGGTGACCAACAGAAAGGAGAATGACAAGGTAGAGAGTTTGCTGTTCCAGATGGCAGGAGCTGTAGGAGCTGTAAAGAAGAAAGCTCTTGCATCCATGTTGGAGAAATACTGACTGGAGAAGGAGCAGGAGGATGCACTCTGAGGAGAGCACAGAGGATATCATGGTCTTGATAGAACTGTGATGGCATGTCATCTAGTAGTGAACTAAATGGATGGTACTGAGCCAGCTTGTGGTGTTTCTGGATGAAAATTTTCGTCCTTTATAATAATAGAGAAACTCCTGCTGGTTTCAAGAACAGGATCCCCGACCAAGCTATAGCTTGCAGTTAGGACCCAACAGCTGAACATCTCCTCAGTATCCCGTGGGTCTGAGTGAGTTGCTCTGTGTCTGAGCCGCCACCCAGTCAGGGCCAAGACAGCTGACCAGAATGTTAACAGTTTGGTTTTTTTTTTTTTTTTTTTTCTTTCTGTTTGCAGTGAACTCCTATGGTCAGCCCCAGCCTCCCCATCTCTTCTCTGGGCCATCTCCTATGTACCAGATTTCTACCCAGGACTCTCCGGGATATAATCGCCCAGGTAAGGGGTGATATTAAGGCATATGATACCAATGAACATTAAAGAACTGGTTCCCAAGCCCTTTGTGCATTTCTCCCAAAGCACTTACTAATCAAATGGAGCACTGAGGGTAGAGAGGGAGCCTGGACTGCAAGGGACCCTCCATTTACGGCTCTGCCATAGCTCTGGCAAGGTTTAGGATTTCAGTGGCCTGATTTCTTTCTTCACATAAATAGACTTCTAGCTCAGCCTCACCCTCAGCTGGTTGCTTTAAGGCAATTTTACATGAGAAGCTTCTGTTGATAAAGTCCTTTGTGCTTTATGAGCAGTCAGCTGTCAAGAAAGTTAAGAAGGCTGAAACTTGACCTCCGTAGAAGCTGCTGGGGAGAATATCACAGCAGATCACCTACAGATATTGGTAGGTGCTGTCTGATGGAGAAATTCATGCCAGTAGTGTTCTTGCTTGTTAGACTATTGGAAGAGAGAAGGCCCAAACCCCTTCTGCTTTCTTTTGCCCAAGGGTCCACTGTGAAAAAGCATGACATTTTTTATTCTAACTGTTCTTTTTCCTTTCTCTTCTTTCTTCTGTTTTTTGGCTCAGCTCACCATCTGGTTCCTCGGCCTCCAGGGCCTCCTCCAGGTGCCAATGAGGAAATCCCCGATGATTTCGACTGGGACTTGATCACCTAGCGAGTTACAGACTTGATAGCCCGTCCTTGTGAAGGACGCGGGAGGGGAGGGGGACGTGGGGTCAATGGTGCCAGCACCACCCTCCCCAGCCTCCCTGCCTTGCCTGTATATAGATATATATTCTGTATCTCCGCCAGAGAAGCCACCGCAAGATGCTGCCGAAGATAATCCTTCCTTGCGTCCTGTTTTATCTTCTTTTTCTTCTTTTGTTTATTATTATTATTGTTATTATTATTACCAATAATTGAGCACAGCCTTCCCCCTCCTCTGGTGGCCTCAGACGCATCAGATCAGCTCTTTTATGTTGCGTGGCGCCCTGCGGAGGGCAGAAAAATGTGTCCTTGGTGCCGTGAAAGACCTCGGAAGGCTGAATCCTCGAGTGCATCTTTCTCTGCCTCCGTCATTTTGCGTTTAACAATCCCTCTTTCCCTTCAAGGTGGCCGGTGAATCTGTTGTATTGGCTACTGGAGTGAGAGAGCCTAGTGGACCCTGGGAGCCTGTAGTTATGTTGTTTCGTAAATGTTGTAAAGGTCAGGGGGCTAAAGGGACACTGGAGGGGTGATCTTAGCTCTGTGAACTTTCTTGCACCAGGAAAAGCAAGAAAAGCAGTAGAGTTCCCAGGTATAAAGAGAGGGTAATCCCTGAGGTAGGGAGAGCTGAGCTGAGCTGGGAGGGTGACCTGAGTTTGGAGAAAGGAGAATGTAGCAGAGATGGTGTTTCAGCAGAGAAGCTGGGTTTCAGAATGCAGTGCCATCTGGGGGGACTGAGAGAGATTTTGAGGGAATCCTGACCTATTTTCTACACTGCCTTTTGCAGTCTCCAGATGAAGTCTACATACCCATCAGGTAAAAGAAGCAGTCAGGGGTGTCACGTAATTCAGCAAATTCTGTTCCCCAGAGCTTTTAATTTCACCCCCCACCCCTTCCAAGCCCTTCTCCAAAATATGTAGTGAGGCTCTTACTTGCATATGCAAATTTGGAAGTTTTCTCCCATCAGTATTTTTTCAGTTGTTATTTGGCCCTCCACCCCTCATATTTCTTTGGAGACTGTCCTTGCCTGTGGTTTGAGAGAGCCATCAACAGGAGTCCTGTTGCGTAGGTGCAAGTTCACAGTCAGTGGTTCCCACTTTGTGAATGGGCTAATGGTGGTAAGAGGAAGCTGCTGCTCAGAGTGGAGGTGAATTAGGGGACTTCTGGTCAAGGGGCTGGACCCTCTGGTCGAGTAACTGAGAGGCCCTCACAAGTGTTTTTTTGTAAGAGGCGGATTAGAAGACAGAGGACCAAGTGGGGCAGATTTTTAAACTGAACAGGCAAACAGTGTAGTATAAAAGGGAGGAGGGTGGGTCAGACCCCTTGCAGTTCAGCTGGGGAGATGATGGAATCTAGTGTAAATCCAGAAGGATGAGTTTTGTCAGCACTTGCAAAGCAGGAAGGTGGAAAAGGTGCAGGAGCAGTAGTAAGTGTTGAGATGCCTCCTCCCCAAAGCTGTGTCCTGTGTTCCCCTTTTTTTCTGGTATAGCTCTGTTCTGTCAAACCTCTTGTTTCCTCTTAATATTTTGTAAAGCCTCCCCCCAGCCCTTATTCCCTGTTTACCAGTGAAGGGAACCAAAGTGGAAATAAAACATCATGGCTGCTTGACAGACCTAGGGCAGGGGAGTAATAACCTCTACTCTGACTGCAGGAAGGTGGGGAAGTAGCATTGCTTTTTAAATTTGCGGTAGGCATAAGCCAATTGGATCTTTGTCAGGGAAGTGGACAGAGTCTTAGAGTCTCATTGTATTAGGAGGGGGACATTTTTGTTTTCTTTTTTTTTTTTTTTTTTTTTTGTGTGTTCGGGGGGGGGAGTTTGTCATTGAGTGTTTCCAAGAGAAATGAGGAATCCCAGACAACTTTAACATGGAGTCAGCTCTTATCTCTGCTGCCTCAGGATGGGAATGATACAGCTTGGAAGCATATGCGATGGGTTTCTGTGGAAAGTGGCACCAGAGACAGCCATGAGAGTCGGTGCCCGTTAGTGCTTTTGCAGAGGATGTTACTGAGAGCCATCCCCGTGGAAATCTGAAAACACCACCAGAAGAAAAACAAACCACGATGGCTGCTCCTGCGTATCCAAGTGCTCCTCATTTGCATATTTGACTCATTTGCGTATTAAGTTGCGCCTCATTTGCATATGTAAATACATGCCGGTCAGTGTGCAAATTAGCCTCGTTCCTCTGCCCCTGAAGTAAATGTGCGTTGTTAGTGCGTGGGAAGGCATCAAGTGGGCGGCGCGGAGCTCTGCAGGGTGTGCGGGTAACGCCTGTGGGGAGGGGAGTGATGCCAGCCTGTCCCGGAGGGGGTTCTTGCAGGCTCCTCCAGCGTGGTGTGGCCCCCCGTGCTTTGTGCCAGTGGTCAGGGAGAGAGGGGCGTGGTCTCACGAGTTTATTTTTGTGCATGCTTTCTTAATAAAAAGAAAAAGTGAATGTTTATGGTTTAACTCTTTTGGTGCCAGTATTGAATTTTTTTTCAGCGGCGCCTGTCAGGTGGGCTCGGTTCCTGGCTGCTTACCTTAGAAACAGAATTTGGGTGTGGACATCGCTAAGGTAACAGCCAACCCCTATATGATCTTTATGACTGAGACTTTTTAGGATGTCAAGAGAAAGAGTTGAAGTTCTCACAGCTGGCTCTTCTTGGGGCACTGAGGCAGGGAGTCTCAACTCATGCTCACCAGAAAGGCAAAGTGAAAAGTATACCAATGCTTAATGGCCGTTTGTCATACCATTTGTTGACCTTACTCCTTTAAGGAAGGACTAACACGAAAAGCTGATTTTAAACCACTTCCTTCAAGTACTGAGTAAACATACTTCTGCTTTTTAGGGAACATTCAAGCTTGGGAAACGCCTCCAAATAGCCTGACTAGATTAAATTTTTATCTTCCTCCAGCAGAAAGACACAAGAAGTATGTATCTCTTCTAGAGAGCAGGACACGACTATGCCACAACAGGCTCATTCCCCACCTTCTTGGGGTCAGACTGGAGGTTATCATTTCTCAATTCCAAGGTATTACCAAATGGCTGGTTCATCAGTGACTGCACCTGGTCAAATTCTGCTCATGCGCCATTGTAAAATGCAATTAGATAATCTTGGATAATCTTGGACTACTTCCTAAAAGGAAGATTTGGGACTCTTGGTGGTGGAGGGAGTGTTGGGAAGACAGTGAGTGAGTGCATGCGAACAAACAGCTACAGCACGTGCATTGGACCAGTTACTACTGTACAGTGATATATTTGCTGGGACAATGAAATATCTTGGGCATCTACGCGGGCATGAAAGTCAGTTCAATGCAGCTGACTGGGGCAAGTGCTGTTCTAATGCACTGCTGTAGGAAAATGTAGCACTACCCTGTAGGGAAGTCTTCAGGAAAAAAAACCCTCAGACCCCAAGTATAGTCAAAGGAGAGGAAAGATGGGATGACAGATTCCAAGGAGAGAGATCAAAGTTAGTTTCATCTGCAGTTTATGAGAGACAGGAGATATAGAACATAGACCTATGCAAATAACTCTAATGACATTCTCATCTAGCAATTCAGAGGTTAAACTACATGATCCCACCAAAAATCATTCTGCAAGCCTGCTTTCTTCTTTGAAGGTTAAAGTAGTCTTTGTCTCCTGCTTCACCAGAGTCTTCCCTCAGATTATTACTCTTGGTAATTCCAACTTCCCATTTCTCTAGAGTAGGATATAAAGGGGGTTAGCTGTTCTGATCTGAACCATCTCGGTGCCCTGTGTGTGGATCTTCAGATTAATCAAATGTGCTGGAGCAAAACAAAAGCTGTTAAGCGGAGTGTGGTTGATATGCAGTGCCATAGCTCGCTCTTTCTACAGTGGTGATCGGAAGTCCTGCATTACACTGTGCTGCTAATGTCCTTCTCTGTTGAAGTCTTGCTTCTGTCAAGGGAGTAAGGGATCGAACATGTTGGTTCCTCAGTAAAGGCACCTTCCAAGATTCCTTGCACTGATTGCCGTGCCTTTCCCCTGAAGCCCCGTCCCACAAAAACATAGAGCAGGGGGTTGATGCAGCTGTTGGCATATGCAAGTGCTGTAGAGAGGTGGTCCCAGAGGATAAATGACTCCCTTAGTCCTGTTCCAGGAGTAGGTACAAGGGACAGAATCCCCACTACGTGGTATGGAGCCCAGCAGATGAAGAATGCAGCTACCACGAGCACAATTGTTCGCAGCATCTTGTTGCGTGGCTTGTGAAACTGATGTGTGCGCGTTCTGAAAGCAGTAAGGGCACAGCAAACTGCCATTATGCCAAAGGGGAGTACAAAGCCAAAGACAGCCCTAGTGATGATTACCACTAAGGCAAGGGATACAGAATAATCACCTTCATAGAAATTTCCCCATGAGTCATTACGGCTGTAGGCTAAAGGTGAGTATTCTTCCAATAACTCATTTACAGAATCATCAGTCTAGCACCTCATCATGTCCGGAATTGTACCCACATTCAGTTCTGCCATCATGAGCACTACTGTCATGGTAGTGGAAGACAGGACAGCAGAAAATGAAGGCCAGGATCCAAACACCACTGCATATTAGTGATACAAATTTCACTGTTCGATTATTTTGACACCAGACAGGTTTCATCACCAGGAGGCACTGGTCAGTGCTGATGGCCACAAGTAGGAAGATGCTAGCAAACATGGTGAAGATTATGACTGATGGAATGACTTTGCAGAGGAACCAACCCTACGGCCAGTGTTCATGGAGGGCCAGATGGTGAACAGAAAATGGCAAGGACAAGCAGCATGTGAAGTCAGCCACAGCAAGGTTTAGGAACCAAACAATGTTCACAGACCTTTTCATTTTCAGACCAGCTACCCAGATCACCAATCCATTGCCTGGGATACCTATGATGAAGACGATGGTGAAGATAGCAATGGAGACAATGGATTCTGATGCATAATATACAGCAGCCTGTTCATGTCAACTGCTATTAGCCAGGAGTTGAGGCATTCTGCAGCTATAAAACAGAAAGCAAATTAGTAAGCAATTCACACCCCCCTCCCCAAATTCTTCTCTTTATCTGTACTGAAGCATCTCTGAGTCAGGTGACAGTACAGAGCTGTCAGGGTACAAAGGCATTGGTCTATACAAGTTTGTGCTGAAGGATTAGTAATCTGACCGTTATGTGCCTTCATCATTCTCATGGTGGCTAAGCTACATAAGCCCCACTATTCAAACAGGGAGGGTTGTATACGTGGAAGTTCTATCTCTGTCATCCCCTTTGATTTCAGTCTGGTTCTTTTTAGTCTCCACTCAAAGTGGAGCTCTCTATTCACGTGCCCACACTGTCACCAGGTGTCTTTCCTGATCGACTTCCAGCTTTGTATACACTTCTTCAGAAAGTTAAGTCAGCATTTTAGTAGACTTTTCCTTTAAAATGAGTAACTTCTTCTGGCATAACCAGCAAAATAGGTTTAGGTTAAGAAAGCAATGCTTGTCTTAATGAAACAACCCTGCTCGTCTTTCTGGACATTATAAATAGTACAGACAGGACAGCAACTCTTGTGTGCCAAAGGGTATTTTTAGGGAAGTCTCAGTAAGAACTTCCTTTTGCCTGCTATTGTTCTGAGCTCTCTGCTGGTTCCTTGGAAGGCTAGTCTTGAGGAGGAGAAAGGCAAGAAATTAATGATTTAAGAAGAACAGACAGAGATTTAGTTGTAGAAAGAAAAAATAGTAATAGAGTAATAGCAGTAATGTTCTTGAACCAGTTTAGATATAAGGAGAGGTATCTTATTGCAAGACAACAAAGCTGAGCCACAGAACACTTAAGTGACGTTTTAAAACTCAGAATAGTAGTAGAAAAACTTTTAATTGCTCAATTATTGTTGGACTTAGAAAGGAAAGAAAATTAAATATAGCAAAGTCAAGATAGAACTGAGAAAGAGAGCCTGATCTTCATCCTTTAGGCATTAATAGAATTGTTGGTAAAATCCCTGTTAACTAATTCCTTGCTGAATCAATGAAGACAGTTGTGTTGCTGAAAGGTCCCTAAAAGCATTACTAGAACACAAGGAAACTGCATAGGTAAGAGTTGAATACAGCCTGCAGAAACAACTGAGGAGACATGAGTAAGACAACCAGACTGATTCTATTTTAACCTCTACTATGCCAGTACTTCAATCAGGGACAGGACTACATACCAATATTATTAAAAAAAAAAAAAAAATTCCAAATCATCAGTCTCCTTCTTGTGTAACATACAGTCTAAATGTGGAGTAATGCATAACTATTAGAATTGCTTCACCATGAAGAAAATTAGATAAACAGTTGTAACAAACATTGTAATTTACCACTTTTTGGTAACAACTGTTAAGAGGCTTTTAGGCGAGGGTGACCTGCAAGGAAAGCTATGATAGAAGTCACTGGAAGGCAGCTGGAGCTCAACATTCTAACTAGTTTGTTCCATTTTCTGTGGTCTTGGTGATATATGCAGAAGTGACTTTTACTGGGACAACTGGAGAACAGTGCTGCAAGAGTTGAATCTTGCTGTCTCCCCATATAGCTACAGAAGATGGTATGAAGGGAATAGGGAATCAAGGGATGCTGTAAAGATAGTAATAGAAATCCTACTCCAAAGCAAACTGAGGGATGAATCAATAAGAAGATACTGCCCACGCTATGTTTTCAAGAGTGCTAAAAGAGCTGCTATGTGGTTATGAAAATGGAAGGGGGAAACGGAGGGGAGAGAGAGGTTTTCGGAAGTGAATAATAAGAAATTGCAAGTTGAAAAGGAAAGCAGAATTCTGCAGTTTGTTATACCTACCCGACTGAAGCAGATACTTCAGTGTGTCAGGGAGCAACTACCATCAGTCCTGTCTCTGGAGTGACTGAAAAAAAAAGAAACCCACGTGACATTTTAGGAACTGCTTTTTTCCTGTATGTGCATGCATGTGCTATGTGCTTTCCTAATGGAAAGGATTAGAATGACTCATATTTGAAGTTTTAGATATGATCTGCTGATAAAATAAACAAACAGTCAAACGAAAAGATGTCTCAATGCCATCAAAATAAAATAGTGCCCCGAGACAAAGAATAATAGAAAGCAAGGGAGTGATAGGCACAGACATATAGTTTACTATAGTTTCCATAAGACAACTGAATCAGATGTCTTGGCATAACGCTGACCTTTGCTTGATGTAATTCATCATTCTAAACCCTGCCATGCCACCATGAGGTGTCTAATCTGTTGTCTTCTAGCTGCTTCCATGGTTTATCAGATCAGCACATTTACCTAGCTAATCCCATTTCTGGGATTCTTATCAATCCAGATGAGCTTCTGCCCAGCTTGAGGTAGCTGAGTTCACCAAATACAGAGCATCGTACTCAGCAAACCATAACTGGTCATGTCAAAGGGACTGTAATCTGATTTTTGACCTTTCAGGGTATTTAAACTCTTATTGTTGGGTTGGGGGTTTTTTGAAGAAGGAACCTGACTCGTGAAAAGCTAGAAGTGGTTAACTGAAATGCTGATAGCACAAAATGTGTCAAGACTATGAAAAGAAAAGGCACATAAGGCAAGGCATTTAAAATGTGTAACAATAGGGTTCCCCCTCACCCCTCCCAATTCAGGAAATCAAGGCTGCTAGCAGAAATGAGAAAGCCCAGACATACAAGAATCAGCTTTGGTATTGCAGTTTTGGTCTGGAAAATGAACCAGGATGGAGCAGAGTTCTACTCCTGAGCATCTCTGTGAAACACATGAATGCCGCCTCCAGCACAAAACCCATGAAAACCAGAAACGGGAAGGCAGCCCAGGGTTGGGCTGTACCCCCAAAGATGGACAGACTGTCAGCAGCATGCCAGGAAAATTTCTCTAGCTGCACCTTATTCTTAGCTGCCATCTCTCCTGAGGGACTACTCAGACCCAGACAGAAAGCACTGATAGGAGGGTACTCCTGTTGGCCTCTGTTGGCCAAGGGATGCACAGCCTTTTCACCACCACGTGACTTGCTAGCTCTAGCCAAACTCTCCTTGCAAGGAGGTCCTTCTCCACCAGCTGGCCAGCTCAAATCCTCTCAGTTAAAACCTCTCCCCTGCAGCCAACCTTGACAGAGCAAGCACTTTATCTTCAGTCCAGCCAGCTCATCCTGGACAGTGATGAGATGATGGTGCCTCTCTGTATAGGTTTCCAGATCAATGAACCTTTTAATCAGTTTGACAAGTGAAGTGTTTTGCACCTCAGCAAACAGGGACTAATGACGTGGACACCCAAAGAAGATGGTACAAAGAGGAAAGACGACATTTTTTTACTTTCATAAAATGGTTACTTAGATCAGACCAGACCTTTTGACTTTCAGCTTTGATGGTAATCCTAAATCAACACACTGCATTCTTTTCTTCTTTTCTGGAACTCTACCTTCCCCTCATGATAAACAGACCGAGTTAGTTTAGAAAGGCTCCAATTCACAGAATCACAGAATAACTGAAGTTGAAAGAGTG